GGAATTTAATACGCAGCTAAAATTGGTGGGCCGTAACATCCAGTCGACTTGCCATAAATTATGTCACAGGGAACAAAAGCGGCTTTTTTGGGGGGAGGTGGGGGGTCAACCACTTTAGTTTTACATCCTGGATTTTTGATACCGTAGCACTTTTTGCAAGGGGAGAACAATACAGGTCATAGTTGTGCCAATTCTATGATTTCACTGCACCACATTAATATGATCCTGAGTATGTGACATATGAGTAATGGCTGCTACATTTTTTTTCTTTTTCTCTCCAAAATGCCATGAATAATTCATGTTTAAGGTGACAAAGAAGGCGAGTAATGTTACGATGTGGGCACAGCATCATCGACGACCACGACGACGTCGCTCCCGCGCTTGGGGGATTGATATGAATTGTGTACACGCCGCCACTGATGAAATGCGCCGTTGGCAATGTGCAGCCAGCGAGATGCCCGTGCCAGGCTTTGCTCTGTTGATGTAAAAAGTATGAAAAATGTGGTGGAGAAGTAAAAACATGCAAGAAGTGGTTCATTAACCTTGGACCTTTGCAGCGAAAACAGATTTTTTTTTCTTTTTTTAACGTTGATTCAGTAACTGGAATGTGCTAATTAAGGCTAAAAAGGGAGACGTTACTCGAGTGGTTGACTGAGAAAATGGAGGACAAGCACTTAAAAAAAAAAAAGTAAATTCTTGGTGTAGTGTTTAGTCTGTACAATATCAGAGATGGGCAAGTGGTGTACTGTACTGGCTACTGTTGACTCGCCCAAACCCAAAAAGTCGTATATAACAGTTTACTTATAGCAAGCGCTAGCTAGCTAGCTAGCGAAGGGGGCAGCAGTGAACTTGACAACACGCAGCAATTCGGCCGATTGTGATCAATTTAATAAAAAGGGGCTTCAATCTTTTTATTGCCACTCACAGTTGAAGTTTTAGTGTCGAACCGAGTGTAACACTTCAGAGAATTTAAACCTAATTGCCTTATTTATTTTTTATTTTTTGCAAATTTCCCCAGTGTGGAACAAATAAAGGTTATCTTAACTTTGTCTTACGAAAGTCTGCTAGCTTAATGCTAACAGAGTGTACACAGCCATAAACTGACCCACCAAACTAGCATTAATGTTTCGGTAATTCGAAACCTTTAAACATCGAAGCAGCCGCACCAATATCACCATGACCATTTTCTTCACTCACTCGCTTGACTCACAATTTTTTTTCTGTGAAAACAGTTTAAGGTAATATGAAGAACTGACTCTTAGTTTATTCTGAACTTTATTCCGTGCCACTTGTGCGCCTTGCGCACGCTCACTTGCTCCACATGAAAAAATATTTCAGATGTATAGTCGGTCAGTAAGAGCTTACATGAACAACCAAACAGCTATAAAGCACTTCTTTTCTACTACTACTGCCCGAAAACGGCTGTGATAGGCTCCAGCACCCCCCGCGACCCTCGTGAGGATAAAGCAGATCAGAAAATGGATGGATGGATGGTTTAACCTACTTTTTTTTTCTTGTGTTTAAAACACATTTATCTTCTTCACCACTTGACTGCCTCACAACCACCCACCCACCCACTTGCTCCACTTGCAGAAATGTTTTGGCAATATAACAAAATGAATTTATCCTAAGAACTAAACTGCTTTCACCACTCTCACTTTTTGTCACACAGCTTGACAGGACTTTCATACCCGGAATTTTCCCTCCTCACCGATCGCCTGCCTCGCCCACACCTACTTGTTGCACTTCAGATATATAGCAATGTACATGAGCAAAATTGATTTAATCTCCTTTGTCTCGTTTTAAAACACTACCTGTTTACACAGAACTGTCTTCCTTCACCACTTGCCCGCCTCACACGCATACCTGCTTGCTCTAATCGCAAAAATATTTGGACATATAACAATATGAAATGGGTTCAATCCCCTTGTCTTCAGTTGTCTTGTTTTCCAGCATGGCACAATTTGCAATCAACTTTCTTCCCCACCTCTTGCCTGCCTTGCACTCACCCACTACCTTTTGCGCTAGTCCTTACGGCGTACCTGTTCCTAGAGAGTCTGTTGGTTGCTAGGCAACATAGGCAATATGACAAGAACGCCTCTGACAGTGACTGAAAGGCATTCGCTTTGAAATGTGCTTTTAGATCTTTGAGCACGAGGATGTTGGATGCAGTCTGTCAAAGAGATTGACGGCTCGAATTGAGGACGTGATGTAAAATCAATGGCGTGATGTTTAGATGCCGGCTATTTCTGTGCCGAGCTGGGAATGATGGATCCCTCGGAGCTGAACTTTCAGTGACCCACTTTTAAGTGCGTTCACGGGGCCAGCGTGGTGTTCCTGTTTTGGTAGCCGTGTCAAAATGAAACTTTAATGGCGACAGGACAAGTTCTCTTTCCTTTTTAAAAAAAAAAAAATGTAGATGGGATGCTAAATTGACTCGAGAGGCTCGTCGTTCTTGAAATCGCCCGCTTCCGTATCGTCTCCTCCCACCGGGAACACGATTTAATCACACCCTTAAGTGGGCCTCATTAGCATAGAATCGAGAAGGATGTTTTGCTGGTTGATTTGGAAATGCGCGGTGACATTTGGGGGACTGGAAAGAAAGTCGGAATAATTGAGTTGTTTGTGCCGCTGCCTCCATCTGAACGGGACGAAATTATGCTAATTTCTTCGCCAGCATCTCGTCAAGATGCGCAATCACAGATATTCGAAACTCCCGATAAGGTTGTCGAGTTTGTGAGAAAGAAATGACTTTTTGCTCTTTAGGGGTTTGAGCCTGCGCCGTTTACTGGCTGCAAAGTTTCATATTTCCCATCAGTTTCCACTTCTTTAGCCAGCAAACTCATTGGAAATCTCTCCAACTCTGATGTTCCTGACCTTCAACATCTTGTACTACTTTAGCCAGAAAATCATTGCGGCCATTTCTGTTTTGTGAGATCAGTTTTCTCTAGCTAGCAAACCTTTTTCAAGACTGAATGATCACCTGGACCCTCTTCTTATCTGGTTTCGGTTTACACGCCATCCTTTCTGCTTCTTTAGTCCGCAAACTAGTCCTAACGAACTCAAATGAGACACAGCAATCAGTCGGTAATTACTTCACCTTTACGGCGCACGCCGCAATTAACATCAAACACGTTTCTATGGGAATAAGCCCCGCGGGAACATCGCTGCCCCTCTTGTGGTTCTTGATGTGGAATATGTTTTTTTTTCCGAGCTTTTATGACCTATTTTGTCCCCTTTTTTGTAACCTGCCAGGAAGACGTCTGCGTAGATGTAGTACAGTAGCGCGGGGATGAGCAGACACACGCATGAGTGCGCTTCACAAGCGGAGGAAGAGGCCGGCAGACGGATCTCAGGTCTGATCCGACAGGCATCAAGGATAATCGCAGAGCGTGGCCGAGCCGAACGCGGGGCTGCAATCGACCCTGAGAAGGATTTAAAACGGGGGAAGACCTGCGCAAAAAGGCAAAGGGAACAGATTGAAATTCCTTCCTCGGAAAATTAAGCCTTTAAGGGACAGCGGTTACTACAGTGGACAGCTCGCCATGTGATCAGGTTACAGGGTGCGTGAAAGGTTAAAACCTGATTTGCACTGCAGATCTTTGTTCGTCCTGCTGTTGACCGTTTTTAACCGCGGCCCGTATGACTGCTGTGAAAAGCTCGAGACTTTTTCGTAGTTGCGTACTGCGGATTGGCAAACGATAGAAAGTTACATTGAGACCAGATTTGGAATTTTTTTTTAAGATAGGATCCATCGGTTGGCCGGCACGTTGAAGGCCATGTTTGTAAAAGGCTCCTTTGGTTAAATTCTCCATTTTCCATGACCTCTTTGTTCAATATACATCCATCCATCCATTTTCCGATCCACCTTATCCTCACAAGGGTGGCGGGGGGTGCTGGAGCCTCTCCCAGCTGTCTTCGGGCTGTAGGTGGGGGACACCCTGAACCGGTTGCCAGCCAATCGCAGGGCGCACACAGACGAACAAACATCCGCGCTCACACTCACACCTCGGGACAATTTAGTGTTCAATCAGCCTGTTATGCATGTTTTTGGAATGTGGGAGGAATCTGGAGTACCCGAAGAAAACCCGCGCAGGCACGGGGAGAACATGCAAACTCCACACAGGGAGGCCCGAGCCCACAACCTCTGCACTCTGAGATTGACGTGTTAACCACTGGACCACCGGGCATCCCGCTTGGCACGCAATTATTTTAATTTCTTTGATGTTGACACCACTGTGAAATCAACAGAAATGGGCTAGCCAAGCACTAGTTGTTGGGATTTAATATTGATTTGTCGCACTGAGTTCTGGTGATTTGAGCAATTCTGTTGAATGGGCTTTTGGATTCGAAAAGAGGATCTGTTCGATTGTCAGACGGCATCCGTTTTTGATTTTGTTTATCATCCAGGATCCAACATTAAGCCTCTTTTGAGTGAGCCAAGTTGTGGTCACAATTGGTACTGGGCCACGGGCAGCCAACTAATGTCAAGGCCTCTCATCGCAAATACTTTGTAAAATTTTTCATTTGTCATCCCAAATGCATTTTTTGCAATGGCTTGTCTTTTTCTTGATTTGCTACTGTTGGGCTTTTTCCCCGAATGGTCTTGTCTTCCGATTGACTACCAATGAAGTCTGGGTTATAAAACTGTTGTCGTTGTTATCCTGACAAGATTTGTTCAGTTTGGTCTGACTTCACCGTTATCTCATTTTCAAACTAATTTGTCATCTTTTTATCCTGCAGCGCTTGCCATGTATTCCGAATGAGTTTTTTAGTGACAAGCTCAACAACCAGAGCATTTCATACTGAGATCTTGATTTGTGTCCAAAACCTTGTAAATTATCTTTCCTTTTTCGGATGCTAAGTTTCACCCGCATGATGGGCTATTTGGAAAATTGTGATTTGTTTTTCAAAAGCTTAACGTCAACAATGTTAATGTGCATTTAATCCATTTATGCTCCTTTTTTTTTTTTTTTTTTTTTTTTTTTGGTCCTCCGCAGGGCGTTGCAGTCCCAAACCATCATGCCCGTTGATCCGGCGTCAAGACAGGAAGCGAGCGTTTGAGCGTCCCCTTCGTCCCTTCCCCGGGCCTTCGTGGCTTCTGCTGGGATGAACATGCCACTGCACCAAATCTCTGTCATCCCTCGCGATGTCACCTCGTCGCGGCTGTCGGGCGGCGGCGGCGGAGCGGGCAAAGCTAAGGATAAAGACAAACAGGTGAAATGAGGGCTCTGGAGAAGCGGCGTCTCTTACCCTGGGTGAAAATGTGCGATATATATATATATATGTATAGATCATTGGAATATTTGTAGTTTTTAAACAAACTGCAAGACAAAATTCTTAAAACAACACTTTTTAAAGGATTTCTGAACGCCTGTTCTCACTCTCGCACTCACTGAAAAACGTCAGTCAGAGGAAATGAAGACTCGCACAGTTCTGCAATTTAGAAGTAAAGCGTGCTTGCTTCAAGTGCCGTATTTGTCAGCCCCAGTTGAAGTTTACTGTGAAACCGACAGACAAAACCAAAGACAAATGTGCTAGCCCAATGCTAACGTGCAATGTGAAACGCTAATGAAGGGCTGAAGGAAATTAGCATGGATATTTCGGTCATCATAAACCTTGACACAACCGCACGTTTAGCACAGAGCAACAGAATTTAGGATTAGACAGTAACAGAGAGTTAAACATTATGTTTTTAAACAGCAAAATGTCTAGCAGCTAGCTTAATGTTGACATATAATGCAAAACGGCATAGATTTCATGGAAATTAGCACCGATGTTATGTAATGCTAAATGATAAACACGCACCTTTGACATACACAGACATCATTAAAATCTGCTCTATTGCCGTTTTTATGGCACCTTGAAAGACTTTTGGTCTACATTCTTCTTTATTTCATTATACAGTTTTCATGCTTGGCTGCTAACTGTTGTATGTGGCAGCAAGATGCTCATTTTGGCTTCAGTTTAATGGCGTGGTCTTTTTTTTTTTTTGTGGTCATTATGTTTTCACAATTGCCCGAGCTGATTGTTTCAATGTGTTTTTTTAATGTTCGTACTGGGAGACATTTGTGCCTTCTATTTCAACAATGTGTCTTAAGTTCCTTTTTGGTTGTTTGTGGGAATTTTGGGAGAGTTTGGAGCACTATTTTCTTGGAAATGGCTTCAGACGTTCAAAGTTATTAGCATTGAGCGCAGTGAGCATCGCAAGCAGGGTGGGAAAAATATTGCCCAGGGGGCACTTTGGTTAAAAAAAAAAAAGTACATTATTTTTTTTATATATTAATTTTCATATGTGTCTGTATATCTGTTCATTCACTGCAGTTTGAATAAGTAAACGGTAGTAGTAGAATTTAGACTCTGGATGGGCATCTTAATGCACTTCATGCACATTCAAGCAAACTGTTACCGGTTCTTGTGATGAAAAAAAAAAATGCTGTTTTGGTGTACTTTGTTAGTCGTGATGAAGTGTGTTTACGTGACCTGTAGTTCATCTTAATTAACACACATTCGCATTCAATTTTAAGTTGCACATTGTCAACGTGAACCTGCCTTCATAGACATTTGTGCAACGCAAGTTAGCTTAGCGCTATGGCTTGGCTAGCAGCCGGGAAAGCAAGAGGTGACTGTGTGAATATATATATATTTTTTGTGGGGGGTTAAGTGAAAGTGCTGATCATGAATTGGTCTTTTCTGGGATAATGATTTCATTCCAAGGACTACAGAACGTTCAGGCCTCGGCCCACCACGTAGCTCCGCCCTGTTTCTCGAAGCCACGTGGTCTCCTCTGGCAATCACACACCACGAGTGCTCTCTCAAGAGTCAGTCTTCCTATTTTTAAGCGCAGAAACAAAGCGAGGTGCTAAGGCAATATGTGTGAAACAAGAAGGCAAGCACAGGTGTTCTGAAGAGACCTCTCACATGCCGCATATGGTGCTCTCCCCCCTCCTTTTTTTTCCCACTACTCCAAGCCTCCGACAGATTCACACGTTTACATTCTTGAAGCAGCGCTGACATTTGCGTTTCAAATTTCGATTCCGCAATCCTCACTGATGATGAATTTTCAATTTGAAAGACTCGACTGAGCTCAAAGACGAGGCGTTGTTCAGCTGCGTATCGCTTCGGCTTCGTGTTGGATCACCAGAGTCCAAAATGTGTCATTTACGAGCAATGAATGGTGTAAAAGATGTCGCGCCGGCGTTTTAATTTCCAGTCTCGACGTGCGCCAACATTCAAAATCACGCCACCCTGAAGGCCAACAAAAAGACGCTCGGCGGTAATTAATCATTTAGCAGCCGAGGTGATCTATTCATCTCCAAACGGAAACTCGTCGTGCTTTATCAGCATTTATGGAATAAGAGTGTGCGGTTTCACGGAGTTGATGTGACTCGCATATTCTTCTCTTCAAAATCTGAGTCGTGTTTTAGCTTAAGTGAGGCGATCTTCGCCATTTTGCTGTGGAAACAGGAGTTCAGAACATTCAGGAATTTCGTTTGCACGCAGTTGTGAGGGGCTGCATTGAATACACAACGCACATAGCCGAGAAGTCAGTCTTTATCATGTCATCCACAGTCAGGGTGTCATGACATCAAATACACATTTTTTTTTTTTAACCAAAATTTGTTCCTGCTTGTATTATGAGTCCGTTGTGCAAGCTTGGAATGTTCAGAATGTGCATTTTATTTCGTGAACCCCTGACTGCGGATGTTGTGATATACAATGGCTATGTGCGCCGTGTATTCATGGGTTAAGGTGTGCAATCTGTGTGTGTGTGTGTGTGTGTGTGTGTGTGTGTGTGTGTGTGTGTGTGTGTGTGTGTGTGTGTGTGTGTGTCCTTGTACTCATGACATTGTGAGGACCGGCATGAGTTTTTAACCAACAGAGTGAGGACATTTTGGTCGGTCCTCAATTTGACACCCTCTATGCGTGGGTGTGTGTTGTACATTTTTGTTTGTTTGTGTGTATTTGTTTAGTGTGCATTTTTGTATGATGTTTGGGTTTTTTTGTTGCATGATGCATGTTTTTGTGTTTTGTTTTTGTGTGTGTTTTTTCATGTCATTGTTTGTTTGGGTGTGTGCGCGAGTAAATGTGTTTGTGTGCGTTTGCGGCCGACACTTGAGTCACACAGCATGTGGCCATCTGTGCGTGAATGTGTTTGTGTGCGTTTGCGGGCCGACACTTGAGTCACACAGCATGTGGCCATCTGGGCTCACTTGACAACACAGCCCCCCTATTTAGAATTTGGCAGGCTTCGGCTGCTCATTCAGATGAAAACTTTTGAGTGTTCCACTTCCTTTCTAGTTCATTTGTCAAGCTCCGAATCTTGTGCTCATCTTTGGTCTTGCTCCAAGAGGACGTATTTATTTATTTTTTTTAAAGCAGTAGTTTCTCTTGCTTTTCTTGGCCTCCGCAAATAATTTGGTCCTCTTTGAGCGGCTGGCGGTTTTGATAAGACTTGCTTTGCAGTAAGGAAGGATTGCGAGTGCTCTGAAGCAAGCGCTTGGCAAGAGTCAGGTCAGGGTCAGGCTGGAAGTTTGTTATACAGACTTTTTTTTTTTTTTTCCCTCAGTTGAGTTTTGCCTCACAACTCGAAAGCAAACTTTGGAGAGTTCACATGAGCAAACGTGCAAACCGGGAAATTGCACGATGAAACGGCTGTCGTGGAGCTTTCAGTTTCGCTTCCTTTTGTTGGATGTTTTGTTTCCTTAATCACGTCATCCAGCGCCGCCATCTTCCACTTTTGTCGTTATTGTCATGCGGTATTTGGCTCGTTCGTCGAGGTGAACAAAAAGCCCTTGGGCGGCGCATTGTTTGATCTGTCCAACTTTGACTGTTTAAGAAGGGAATAAATGCCAAAAGGTTTTTTTTTCCCCCGCAGTGTTTATTTCAGTCGACTTCCTTTTCCATGCGGCGCGTTATTGAGCGTTCAGATCCACCACGGACGTTCTTCAGCGCATTTTTCCGCCAAGACTGCCGCGGGCTGACACGAACAGGTGGCGTCAGCTGGCGTCTGTCGTCGGCCCATCTCCGCGCAAGCGGCCGCATTGAAATCCACTCGAGGTTGAAGATCGCTAATTCACCCTTTCACGCACTCCGTAACCTGATAAGCTGTCCACTGTCGTAACCGCTGTCTCCGAAAAGGATAAATGTGAAAAACATAATTTGGGGAACATTCCCTTTTCAACCCAATCATGATTCACAGCCTTTCCCGGTTAGCATATTCACCTGTGGAATGATCCAAGTAGGTGTTTGATGAGCATTCTTCAACGTTCTCAGTCCCAGCTATTTTTGGAACGTGTTGCAGCCATAAGATTCCAACTTAATGATTATTTGCACATTGAATATTAAATATCTTGTCTTTGTAGGGTATTTAATTAACCTTTTTATGCACCAATAATGATAACCTGTAACCTGATAACATGATAAGCTGTCCACAGTAAGTCACTGCTGTCCCTAAAAAGGGTTAAATTTGATTTGCAAATCATTTTATTCAGTTTTTATTCATGATTAAACACAACCTCCTGACTTTCTTGGCATCTGGTTTGCATATCCTGATCAAATAATTTCCCCCATATTTACATGTAATTAGTCGAATTTTTTTTTTTTTTTTGTAGAGGGTGATCTTTTCTCCGTTTTAGTTTTAAAAATACATCATTTATATCTAATTAAGAAACCACAAATAGCCAGTGGCCATTCAAAATATCTGGCAGTACAGGTCCAACCACTTTTCAATTCAAGTACCTTGGGCACTCCGAAGTCAGGTGCCACTCCACTAACATTTGCTGTGTCAAAAAGAGAGGAATTTGGGCGGCAATAACCTGTTCAATAAGGTACGGGGATGGCACCAGTAGTTCAGAAAATGCAGAAAGAGCTGGGGGGGAACAAGACAATGGTGTTTTAGCACAAAGAGTCATCAGCTTCACCTCGGCGGCCAAATGGCACTTGCATCTTCTTACCCCGCAGCAGAACATGTACCCTGATGCTAATACGTTCTCTTCTTTACACAACCTAATACAGGTCCGCATCACGGGAGGGTGCGCAACCCAAAGGTAAACAGCCCATGGCGACGAGAGCCATCGCTTTGGAGGACGGGCGCGCGAAGCCGCGTGAAAAACGCCCACAGATGGCGTTTTATACCCGTTAAAGAGCAAGCGTTTGCTTGCTCCGTGCGGGAATCCGACATTGCGGCTGCAGTAACAGATGGGGGGCGGAGGAAC